TGAACCATTTCCACAGTCATATTGAGGAGTTACGACAAAATCATGCTAATAAGTAAAAAATTATTTAGAGGTTATGTTTTTTTAAATAAAGATCGATATGTGATACAACAATCCATGAGAGGATAAGCTGTTGACACACACGTTTTTTTTTTTGTAATAGGATTCGTCTTAGCTCTATAATACAATAAAATACAGTCGAAATCGTTTATAACGACGGTCGCTATAAGCGATGAGAAAAAAACCAACTATGAGAAAAAAACCTGACGTGAATGTGATAAGAAAACAATAGATAAGAAAAAAATGTCTGCCAGGCCGGCTTTTTGTACCCTTCGCATTCAAAAGTTTCTTAATAGATCGGGATTATTATTGGAAGGCGAAATATTAGGTATTTCCGCTGGAAAACTTCGAAGTAATATTTCAAAATATATTCTGCAAAACACCAAAATGCAAATTTTCAGTAATTTTAGCGTGAAAACACACTGTAGAGTCACTGGAATTAACATATGAGGATCATCATTTTGACCTCAGGCACATTTAAAGATAATGACTGAACCGAAAAGCTGCCCAAGTTATTTTAACAGAAGAAGAAAATATTTAATTTATCGAGTAATCCTTAATTAATAAATCTTTGGTCGCCAACGGGCAAACGAGTAGTAAATAGAGTTACAGAACAAGAATTTCAAACTGGAAGTATCTGTCTGGCATTCTACGCCCTCCAGTTGGCGTATAGATCGCGGCATTGGGTCTTGTATTGAAAGACTTATTTAAAATCTGCGGACACATTATTTACTATTGCGGGCAGGATAATGCCCCTAAATGCGCAGATCAAGGGACATATAAATCTTGAAAACAACTATCCAACATTTTCGAGCTTATATTCGACCGATGAACCCAGACAAAAATAAACATGTTTACTACACAAAACGTGGCCGCATATATCCCATTTGCAATACCATCCTGGTATACTAGCAACGTCTATGCAAAATTCCAGAGCTTACTTACTTATCTGGCTTGTGACGGAACGTTTGTTCCATAAGCCGAGCTTAAAAAAGTTTTCCAGGCGCATCGCTCTTATGCGCAGCTCATTAAATTTGAAATATCATGTTCCGAGATGTTGTCTTCCACTTGATCTTTCCATCGAAATCGAGGCTTTTGACTTTTGAGCTGGGGCATACTCATCCATTCTCACAACATGACCTAGCCAACGTAGCCGCTGCAGCTCAATACGTCTGACTATGTCGATGTCCGAGAATAGATGTAACAGCTCATGGTTCATTCGACGGCGATATTCACCTTTGACGCAATACGTCTGACTATGTCGATGTCCGAGAATAGATGTAACAGCTCATGGTTCATTCGACGGCGATATTCACCTTTGACGCATATCTGCAAAATTCCAGAGCTTACTTACTTATCTGGCTTGTGACAGAACGTTTGTTCCATAAGCCGAGCTTAAAAAAGTTTTTAAGGCGCGTCGCTCTTGTGCGCAGCTCATTAAATTTGGAATCTTTCCATCGAAATCGAGGCCTTTCCGTTCTGCGTGAACCATCAGCTGGCTCGTTTTTATGTGAGCTGGGGCATACTCATCCATTCTCACAACATGACCTAGCCAACGTAGCCGCTGCAGCTCAATACGTCTGACTATGTCGATGTGCGAGAATAGATGTAACAGCTCATGGTTCATTCGACGGCGATATTCATCGTTGACGCATATCTGCCCATAGATCTTCTGGAGATTTTTTTCAAATAAATTTTTCTCAAACAATCCAAGAGTTGTTTGATCTACTTGCCTTGAGCAAGTATCCATGCTTCAGATCCATATAATAGCACGGCTAATATCAGCGTCTTGTAGAGTGTGAGTTTGGTCTGGCGATCTGGCTTACTCAGATTATAGTAGCATCTGTTGGCCAACACTATCCTTCTCCGAATTTCAAAACTTATGTCATTAATTTTGTTAATGGCGGTACCGATGTATATAAAATCGTTTACTACCTACATTAAGACGGTGGCGTATTTTGGTTGCCACAAGGTAATGCTCCGATATTCGCTCCTTGGATCGATCGAACGTCTAAAATACTGGACGAATGCCTTCCGTCTATCACAACAGGATCAATTTGATTTGTCGTTGCTTGATCAGGACAAATCCAGGTGACCATGTGTATATTGAGATGCTTGAATCTGGTGCTGCTATATACCATGCTTTTTGCTGTCGGGAAGTCAATCAACCTCATGCTGTTGTCGGATGTTTCTTCATGCAGGATGAATTTTCCAACTGTGGGACCAAAAATATTTCCCTTCAGATTTTTGCATTAAAATCTCCTAGCAGAATTTTAATGTCATGGCTAGGACAGCGGTCATATGATGTTTCTAGGCGCTCATAAAATATGTTTTTGGTCTGTTTATCTTTGTATTCCGTCGGAGCATGGGCACAGATAAGACTGATGTAGAAGAACTTCGCTTTTATACGGATTATAGAAATTCGCTCATCTACTGGAGAGAATCTGGAGCCAATTTTCATGTCTCGTTTCATTGCAGCTATAATACAGGGCGTAATCGTCTGATTTACTTACGCCTGTCCCTTTCCATCGCATTTCCTATATAGGCAATGATATCGGCTGTGTACTTCTGAGTACATCCTCCAAAGCGATAACTGCGCCTGTTCTGTACAACGTGCGCACATTTCAAGTGCAGGTTCGCAGATTGTGGCCCTTTATACGTATCTGGAGGTAGTCCACATTAGGGGGGTGTGATTTTCTTTATCGTCGTTTCTTTGTCGGGGTTTCCGAGTGTTGGCAACAACCCATTTATACCCTCCAACATAGTATATTAATTTTGTCATTATGTTTCGAAATATTCATTTCCGACCCTATAAAGTATATATATTCTTTAGTCCTGATTTATATTAGGCGAGTTTACTTGCGGCAATTATTATCGTTCCCTTTTGAACATGAAATTAAGACTTATCAGGGAAAAATTCTTAGACGATCTAACCTTGTCCGTTGTCATCTGAAGGAATTGAGATAGTTCGCCAAAATTGCATAGAGGCGTCTTTTGTCTGCAGTCGATATTTTGGGGTTCTTGAGCGCGCTTTTCAACCGAATTCGCTGAAATTTGGTACTTTGGGTTCTTTTTGGGTACCAAATGTCTCCACTAAAAATTATAAATATCGGTACACTTTTTCTGTAGCCCCCATATAAGAGCACCCCTATGGCGGAGGGTATCCAAAATTTGGCCCGAACTTTTCACTTGTCTTTTTCACTTGTCATAGTTCTTATGGGTGAACTTGTGAACTATTTCAACGGATTGATGGAAGTAGCTACCGCATGTGACACCGCGGGGTGGTCAGTCCACAATTGAGATGAAAGATAAGCCTGGGTTTTGCCATGTTAAAGCCAATCACTCAAATTCTAGAGCTCTATCTTAAATATTGAGATCTCAATCATGGTTCGCTTGATCAATAAACGGGAAGAACAAGGTGTACAATCCAACGACCTACTTCAATTGAACGAATTACACAAGAGGACATTTAAAACTAAAAAACAGCAAGGGATGGGATAAAAATAAAATAGAATACTTCATTGACTACGAACGAATTAGGTAGTGATCTATGAACGATGTTGTTGGTGCCCGATTGGTCAATGATCTAAATAGTGAACTATGAATTAGATGAACTATAAGGATCGTTCTTTAAAATGAACTAAAATATACAACACAATCGCAAATGAAATATCGACGCCTCCGAACCATAGTATGCTAAGTCTGAAAAGTGAGTTTTTCAGTAGAAACTCTCAAAGTATGGAAGTTGCATATATCTTTCGGGCCATGCTAAGTACATTTTTGCTTATAACTTTGATTTGGATTGGCCGATGATTACCAAAATTTCAGAGAACATAAATTAAGGACCGTAGTATCTAAAAACGTAAAGAAATTTAAAACATGCTAAGTCGACTTAGCATACTATGGTTCGGAGGTGTCGATATGATGATTTAAAATTCGAAATGTTCTGAATTATATTTGCTGAAGATGTAGAAGTTCATTTATCCTAGATGAAGAAGTGAAAACAATTGGTTTCATATAATTTTTCCATTCGATTATTTTTAATATTTTATTATACACTTAATAATTACAAACTAATTTTTATATAGATAAATATATATATATTTTTGGAATACATTAAAGTTATTTTGTCGCATTGTTGGTCCATAACTCATGAAGGGAATTACACATTCGTCTAGTAGATCTCGATCTCGTCAATAGAAATTATTTACTTTCGGATTGGGGGAACCATGATTGGCAGGCTTCCATGGCAATTTCACACATGGCGGTCACTGCTTTGGCATTGTCATATTCTGGGGAAGAATCAACAAATTACTAATTTCAAAATGTAAAATATTTAATTGCTTTACTTACCAACTGAATTACGCTTGCCAAAAATGCTACCATTGAAGGGTGGTTTACGGTAGGCAGCCTCGCTGGGTTGCAACATGACAACGGCAACAATGAAGGCAATGACAATGAGAGCGAAAGAGAAACGGATGGCAAACATTTTGAGATTTTCTTTGGTGCAAGAGAACACGATTTTCTTGAGTTGTTGAACGTTGCTGATGAACTGATGCCAATCTGTGGTAAACCCTTAGCTTTTATAGTGAAAATTTGTCTACCAGCGGCATATGGAGGATATGAATAGGAAACTAAATATTAGAACATAAATCTCCAAGGACTGAAAGGCTAATAGAAAATTAATTGCTAATTATGGGACATAATAATGAAAAGAGAGAGATGTTATATTGAGTTATGTTCATGGCCAACTTTGCTGGTTTATTTTAATACTATTAATACTCTTTGATATTATTTGCAAAGTATATATGCTAAAAGGATATTAAAATCAAAATCTATATAACAAAACAATATTAAACATATTTTTGCAAATAAATATTCTACTACATTGTTGTCAGTCTTTGAGAGTTTCTGCAAAAAAAGTCCCTCCTTCCAATTTCCATTTACGATTTCATATCCCATTCCAAAATCTTAGAGAATTCCTTTTCTCCGAATTGCAACATCTTGGCCTGTTCCAAACAAATGTTTTGCCTTTTCAAATTATCAATCAAAAATAACTGCTTTTTATAGGCATTTAGCAGATCAGCTCTCTGTTTCTTTAAATTCTTAATTTGTTTATCTTTGTCGTCCAAATCTAGACGGACCTTTTCCTGTAATTCCTTTTCGGATTTTTTCATTTCACTCAACGAAGTTCGGGAATTTTCTAGATCTTCATTTGCCCGATAGAGTCGTTTCTCGAGGTTTTTATTATTTTGTGTTAGAATTTTAATTTCTCTCTTCGCAGTCTCCAAGTCTTTTTGCTGTTTCAGATATTCTTTGTTCTGATCCTTGTTATGCTGAGTGGTTTGTTCCAGCTGGGATTCCAATTTCGCCAATTGTTCTTTAAGTGCATTATTTTTTGTTGTGGCTTGATCGCGCTGCTTTTCCATAGCCTTAGCTTGTTCTAGGGCTTTTTCGAGAAGTTCCTTTTGTTTGCTTAGCTCTTCGGATAGGCGAGAGTGATCATCTTCCAGTATGGTCACCTTGGATTTAAGGAATCTGCCAAAAAAGTTCAAAATGTTAATTTGAAGAAATATACGAAGTACAAATATTGAATATAAGGAAAGAACTTAAAGGCGGACAATATTTTACTCTTCACCACTTTTGGTACGATTTTGTACATTGTGCTAAATTTTGCCGGAATCGTAGATATTTTAGATATTTTATGCACCGTATAGATACAATCGGCTTAGAATATATTTGGGAGCTATATAAAAAGCATGATAGATACCAAGCAACGCACTATGGGTAAAAAGTATGATTTTTTGGCATAAATTCAATTTTTTTTGTTTTCATATTTTGAAATGTAACTGATTTCCTTAATGTAGACATCCATATTAGAAAAAAAAACATTCAATATCAATGGGGGTGGCAACCCTTTTTTGCTGGCGAGCTTTAAAAGTCAGCAGTTTGAAAGTCACATTGTTTTGGTACAACTGGCGGTAAAAATCAGCTAAGTTCGAGTTTTGCGTTTTCGCTTCAAGAAGTACAAACCCGACATCATTATACCCTTCACCACACTGTGGTACAGGGTATTATGTCTTTGTGCATATGTTTGTAACAGGCAAAAATAATCGAGATAGACCCATGGTTCCTTTTGAGAATATGCATAGAATCACTTTCTGAGTCGATTTATGCATGTCCGTCCGTCTGTCCGTCCGTCCATGTATTTTTGTTAACAAAGTACAGGTCGCATTTATGATCCGATTTGGATGAAATTTGGCACAGGTCACTTAATTGGCCCAAGGACGAACCCTATTGAAATTGGAGAAAATCGGTCCACGTTTAGGCATAGCTCCCATATAAGGGTACCACCCAATTTTCGGTATTTTGGGGTTCTTGAGCGCGTTTTTCAACCGAATACGCTGAAATTTGGTACATTGGGTTCTTATTGGGTACTAAATGTCCCCACAAAAAATTATAAATATAGGTCCATTTTTTCGGGTAGCCCTTATATAAAGGTTCCCCCAGTTTTCGGTATTTTGGGGTTCTTGGGCTCGTTTTATAACTGAATTGTCTGAAATTTTGTACATACGGTTCTTATTGTGTACCAAATTATTCCACTAAAAATTATAAATATAGTTCCAGTTTTTCTGGTAGTCCCCATATAACGGTACTCCCAAATTTTTGGTATTTTGGGGGTTCTGATCGTATTTTTCGACCGAATTGACTTTAATTTTGTACATCGAGTTCTTATTAGGTAGCAAATATCTCCACTAAAAATAATAAATATAGGTCCACTTTTTCGGGTAGCCCCCATATAAGGGTACCCCCCAATTATCGGTATTTTGGGGTTCTTGAACGCGTTTTTCAACCAAATTCTTTGTAATTTGGTTTTTTGTAGTCGTATATGGTAACAAACCTCCCTCCTAAAAATTACTAATATTCGCCTCCTTTTAGGGGTGGTCCCCTTATAACCACCTTTTTATACCCTTCACCGCACTGTGGTACCGGGTATTGTGTCGTTGTGCATATGTATGTAACAGGCAAAAATAATCGAGATAGACCCATGGTTCCTTTTGTGAATATGCATAGAATCACTTTCTGAGTCGATATATGCATGTCCGTCCGTCCATGCCGTCCGATATGTGCCAACTATAGAGGAATAAGTCTCCATCCCATCGCATATAAAGTGCTATATGACATTATTGGACCATACCAATGTGGCTTTAGGTCTGAAAAATCCAACATAGACCAGATTTTCACACTGCACCAAATCATGGAAAAGACCCACGAAAAACACATCGACACATTCCACCTATTCGTCGACTATAAAGCCACATTCGACAGCCATATCCGTTTAGAGGTGTTTAAAGTCATGCCGGCGTTCTGCATTCCTACAAAATTAAGATCACCAGTTAAAGTCGGAAAGGACCTCTCGAAGCTTTTTAATACCGAACGAGGATTCAGACAAGGTGACAGTTTGTAGTGTGACCTTTTTAACATCCTGCTGGAAAAGGTCATACGAGATGCAAATGTGAACAGAAATGACACTCTGTACACCAAACTGCACATGTTACTCACTTACGTTAGCGAAATCGACGTAATGGATCGAACATTCCGAGCGGTAACAGCTTTAAACGAATTGAGAATGAGTCTGTCAAAGTGGGACTGGCAGTAAATGGCGAGAAGATCAAGCTGATGGTATAGACGCGCACGACTTCTAGTAGATTCGGACCACTTTAGGAACTTGAAAACTACAGCTTCGAGGTAGTGAACGATTTTATGCACCTCAGTACCGCCATAAACAAAACTAATAACATCAGTTTTGAAATTCGGAGAAGGATAGTGTTGACCAACAGATGCTACTATGGTCTACGTAAGCAGTTTAGAAGCAAGGCCAATTCCCGCCAGACCAAACTCACCCTCTACATGACGCTGATACTACCCGTGCTGTTATATGTATCTGAAGCATGCAAGCAGATGAGGCAGCTCTTGGTGATTGAAGAAAAATTCTCCGTAAAATCTATGGGCCGATCTGCGTTGTTAGTGAATATCGCCATCGAAGGAACCATGAATTTTACCAGCTATTCTCGGACATCAGCATTGTCAGACGTATCGACCTGCAGCGGCTACGTTGACTAGGTCATGTTGTGAGAATGGAAGAAGATGCCCCAGCTCTAAAAGCATATAAAATCTTACCAGCTGATGGTTCACGCAGAACGTGAAGACCACGAATCAGATGGAAAGATCAAGTGGATGACAAAATTACCAATATTGGTCCTCTTTTTACGAAAGCCCCTTCGGAATTTCGTTTTTTTGAGGAGTGTGGACTTGTTTTTCGACCGAATTGGTAGTAATTAGACATTTGGAATTCGCATTGGGTTTGAAATTCCACTACGAAAAAATCTCAATATTGGACCACATTCTTGTAAACTTTCTGGTATCTACCAAATTTTGGCATTTTTGGGAGTTTGGACTTTCAGCAGAATTCACTGTAATTTGGTATTTTGAATTTACATTACATTCTCTACGAAAAATTGGTCCACATTTAAGGATAGCCTCCATATAACCATACCTCCCGACTTTAGTTAATTTGAGGAGTAGGGGCACGATTTTAATCTCAACTGGCTGTAGTTCGTGATTTCGAATTATAATTTAATAGTAAATGTTCCCTTCAAAAATAATCAATGGTGGTCCACTTTTTACGATAGATCCTTATAACGGCATCTAAAGAAGAGTACAGCTCAGTGTCCGGCATTTTGTGGGTTTAACCTCAAGGGGTCAAAACTTCCTACCGAAAAATTTACAATGTTATAGACACCATATATATAAAAGTCCCGAGCGAATACAACATATATTTTAAATATCTACCTCATGGTGGAGGGTATAAAAAGTTCGGCCCCGCCAAACTTAACTACGTTTTCACTTGTTAATCAATATTCGGAACTTACTTGATCAATCCATCGGTGCTTACGTTCTTTTTCGAACCAATTGTCATATTACTAGCTTGAGAATGACGACCATTTGATATGGAATCCTCTGGTGCAATTGATGAAACGCTACCATTCAAATGGGGCGAATCTTCCGAAGATGTCTGATTTCTTATTGCAGAACATTCATCCTTTAACAACACCTCCAATGAGGGACTTTTAACAAATTTCGGATTACGATACTTGATGGTAAATGTGGAGGTATTTGTGGGTGGCGCCCGACTGAAACGATTTTGATTGGGAGCACGAAAGGTTTCATTACCCCTAGCGGCAGTAGAAATATTAGAGGTTGGTGGTGGATTTTTTCGCATATTAGCTGCATATGTTCTTATGACACTGGAATTGTGGGCCATAGTGGATGAAATCACGGTGGGAGGTGGTGTTGGTGTGGGTGCAGTAACTGTTATCCTTGGTGATTGATTGGGTTCATTGCCGGTTTGACGGTTACCCTGACGATAGGTATCTCTACCCATTGTCATGCTAAAACGTCCCATTGGATTTTGAGAAATTTGCTGATTGTTTCCTACATCACTGGTTGGACCATCACCCGAACCACGTTTCCTCAAAAAAGTACTTTGACCCTTGGCCTTTTGATAGGTATGAAAACGGGAATGATTTGATTTTTCCGAATTTATTCGCTGCCCCGTTGCATTTGTTTGATGCTCCATGGCATTTGATGCCATAAAATTTAATTGTTCATTTAATTTTAGAAATTCTTTTTCTTTCGATAAAAGTTCAGCCATTTTAAAGAATTTTATAAATTTTTGAGATTTTTTTCAAATAAAACTAAAACTATTTTGCAATAATTTAAATTAACACAAAATTTATTGAATACACACACAAATATTGAAATTGAATTTGAAATTTGATTTGTTCAGTCTTTTGATTGACAATTTAACCCTTGGTTGTGTGACGGACGACAATTTCCCCCAGTTGTTATTTGATTTAAATTCTCCAAGGAACTGAAGTTGTTGTTATTTCCGCTATAAATAGAAACCGTCAAACAGTGCGACAGGAATGTAAGGAATTCCCTGTTACCCTTGACGATTTTATCAACGGTTTATTTATTGTTTGGTATTTTACCGGGCCATGAACTGCATAGGAGGGGTGGAGGTTATATTTTATGTGGGAGTGCAACATAACAATGCTTCTGGCATTAATGCGGTTGGTGTGGTCTTATGAAAAAGATTTCACCGCGTTCTGTAGGGTAGATCTGGTAGTTTCAAGTGTGACTATTTGATTTTCTGTGAATATGTTTTTTAAGAGATTCTTGGGGGTATATGTCTGTCTTCGGAGCCGTAGTAATCGTAAGTGATTCAGTATGTTTATGGGAGTTCGAAAGGAGGTATTTTGTCTATTGAATACAACAAAATCCGAAAGTAAATATTCTGTACACGGTTGGCCGACTGAACAACAGAGGTTCTTATGTCTACAGAAGACCACAATATGGCGATCCATCGAAGGTCAATGATAGGTCGTCTGCTTACATATAGTCGAGAGGGATCTTTCTGTCCATAAATCACCGATATATGGTCTTTTATTAAGGCTGTCCTATGTTTACAGTACAGGCAGAAGACTTCAGTCAATGAGCGTTTTTGTCTGCAGAAGACCACTTGGAGGTCTTTTGTCTATAGGACACAAGATGTGCCGCGAGTTCACACATAAGAACTATCAAAAATGGGTTGAGGCGTCGGGTTAGTTGCCCACACTCGTAAAAAACCAAATCTATGAATAAGCAACGAAAAAGAAAACCAAACAACACTCACCAACCCCCTCCCCCCATGGTTGACGACCCTCGCAAACATATAAAGGACCACGATCTGCGAATCTTCACTTTGAATGTGTGCACGTTGTACAGAACAGGCGCAGTTTTCGCCTTGGCGGATGTACTCAGGAAGTGCAAAGCCGATATTATTGCCTTACAGAAAATGCGATGGAAAGGGACCGGCGTAAGTAAATCAGATGATTACTCCCTGTATTATAGCTGCCATGCAACGAGACATGAATTTGGCTGCGGATTTATGGTTAATAGGAGAATAAAAGACCTCATCTCCAGATTCACTCCAATAGATGAGCGAATTGCTATAATCCGTATAAAAGCGAAGTTCTTCTACATCAGTCTTATTTACGCCCATGCTCCGACGGAAGACAAAGATGAACAGACAAAGACATTTTTTACGAGCGCCTACAAACTGCATATGACCGCTGCCCTGGCCATGACATTAATGTTCTGCAAAAATCGAAAGGGAAAATATATTTGACCCCACAGTCGGAAAATACAGAAATATCCGACAACGGCTGGTCGCTGGTCTGGAGCATATACTAGCTGATTAGTACAATTTTTCTAGAGGAATGCATGATCAATGATTGGAACCTCCGCATCCTGTGTCCCGTGCACAAAAGAGACGACAAGGCGATATGTGCCAATTCCAATCCCATTGCATATAAAGTGCTATCCAGCGTGCTGTTAGAACGACTAAAGCCAATGGTCGATGACATTATTGGGCAATGCCAATGCGTTTTCAGGACTGGCAAATCCACCATAGACCAGATTTTCCACCATAGACCAGATTTTCACTCTTATGGAAAAGACCCATGAAAAACACATCGACACATTTCACATATTCGTCGATTATAAAGCCGCATTCGACAGCCCTATATGTTCAGAGGTTTTTAAAGCCATGTCTTCGTTCGCCATTCCTTTAAAATGAATACAGCTATGCAGGATAACTTTAATGGCCACAAGGTCAGCAGTTAAAGCCGGAAAGAATCTCTCGGAGCCGTTCAGTATCGAACGAGGATTCAGACAAGGTGACAGTTTGTCGTGTAACCTTGGTCATACGAAATGCAAATTTGGACAGAATTGACACTCAATACATCAAGCAGAATATGTTACTCGCCTATGATGATGACATCGACATAATGGGTCGAATATTGCGAGCGGTAACAGCCACCATTAAGGGGACCCCCCATTCTCGGGGTCAAAAATTTTGTTGATATAATTCGAATCTACACTAATTAAAGAATGTCCCTACAAAATTTCAAATGAAAATCTCAAGAAGTCTTGAAGATATAGCCGATTTATTGTGTCAGCATCAAGTGACGGCTGAAGGGCTTCTCAAACTTTAAACGCGTTTTTCTCCAAACATTTTTTTTGCGAATCGACTTCAAATTTTTCACGTTTCTCTGTGAGTGTGTAGCTATCGTATGAACTAGGATAAAGCCAATCGGTGAAGATCTTCCTTATTTTTTGACTTGGGTTTTGGTAAAGAATCGGCGATTTTCCAAAAATATTTTTTCAAAAATCCACCATTTTTTTAATTTTAGAGCGGAGTCAATAATCCTAGTTCATACGAGAGCCAGACATGTACTCTTTCTAACACCGTTGGAATTTTCGGATTCCGATGTTCCGATGTTCTTTAATTACAAAAAACAACAACATAACAATAACAAAATTTGTTTCTAAATTATTTTTTCTCTCTTTTAAAACTTCAATTATATACATACATATGTGTAAAGTTACAAACCTTAACAAGCATTGGTATTGATTTACCAGCCCATTGAAAATCTTGAAAAATTAAAATCGAGAATGGGTACTTGCGCAAGCAGATGCGGCAGCTCTTGGAGTGTTTGAGAGAAAAATTATCCGAAAGATTTATGGGCCGATCTGCCTCGACGGTGAATATCGCCGTCGAATGAACCATGAGCTGTACAATCTATTCTCGGACTTCGACATGGTCAGACGTATCGAGCTGCAGCAACCACGATAGCTAGGCCATGTTGTGAGAATGGATGAAGATGCTCCAGCTCAAAAGGTATATAAAAGCGAGCCAAGTGGTGGTTCACGCAGAAAGGGATGGCCACAAATAAGATGGAAAGATCAAATGGAAGAAAACATAGCCAAACATGGTCTTTCAAATTGGAAAAACTGCGCACAAGACCGACGCGCCTGAAAATCTTTTTTATGCTCGTCCGAAAGATCTATGGGCCGATCTGCGTCGACGGTGAATATCGCCGTCGAATGAACCATGAGCTGTACCATCTATTCTCGAACTTCGACATGGTCAGACGTATTGAGCTCCAGCGACCTCGTTGGCTAGGACATGTTGTGAGAATGGATGAAGATGCTCCTGCTCAAAAGGTATATAAAACCGAGTTAAGTGATGGTTCATGCATAAAGGGAAGGCGAATTAGATGGAAAGATCAAATGAAAGAAAACATTGCTAAACATGGCCTTTCAAATTGGAAGAACTGCGCAAAAGACTGACGCGCGTGAAGATCTTTTTATACCCTTCACCATACTGTGGTACAGGGTATTATCTCTTTGTGCATATGTTTGTAACAGGCAAAAATAATCGAGATAAACCCATGGTTCCTCTTGAGAATATGCATAGAATCACTTTCTAAGTCGATTTATGCATGTCCGTCTGTCCGTCTGTCCGTCTGTCTGTCCATGTTAAATTGTAAACAAAGTACAGGTCGCATTTATGATCCGAATTGGATGAAATTTGGCATAGGTCACTTATTCGGCCCAAGGACGAACCCTATTGAAATTGGGACAAATCGGTTCAGATTTAGATATAGCTCCCATATATATATTTAACCGATTTAATGTAAACGGTCCCTATATATCTTTCGATTTGCACGAAATTTGGTACAGGATAATCATTTAGGCCTATAATGATGTCTGCCAAGTTTCGTGAAAATCGGTCCAGATTTAGATATAGCTCCTATATATAGGTTCGTCCGATTTCATGTAAATGGTGCCCCAAAATCCCTATATATCTTTTGATTTGCACGAAATTAGGCATAACGTACTGAATTAAGCCTAGAGTGATTTCTGCCAAGTTTCGAGAAAATCGGTCCAGATTTAGATATAGCTCCCATATATAGTTTCGTCCGATTTCATGTAAATGGTGCCCCAAAGTGCCTATATATCATTCGATTTCCACGAAATTTGGTACAACCTAATCATTTAGGTCTAGAATGATATCTGCAAAGGTTCGTGAAAATCGGTCCAGATTTAGATATAGCTCCCATATATAGTGTCGTACGATTTAATGTAAATGGTGTCCCAAAGTCCCTATATATCTTTCGATTTGCACCAAATTTGGCATAACGTATTGAATTGAGTCTAGAATGATGTCTGCCAAGTTTCATGAAAATCGGTCCTGATTTAGATATATCTCTCATATATAGTTTCATCCGATTTCAGGTAAATGGTGCCCCAAAGTCCCAATATATCTTTCGATTTGCACGAAATTTGGTACTGCCTATTCATTTAGGTCTAGAATGATGTATGTAAAGTTTCGTGAAAATCGGTCCAGATTTAGATATAGCTCCCATATATAGTTTCGTTCGATTTCAGGTAAATGGTGCCCCAAAGTCCCTATATATCTTTTGATTTGCACGAAATTTGGCATAACGTACTGAATTAAGCCTAGAGTGATGTCTGCCAAGTTTCGAGAAAATCGGTCCAGATTTAGATATAGCTCCCATATATAGTTTCGTCCGATTTCATGTAAATGGTGCCCCAAAATCCCTATATATCTTTTGATTTGCACGAAATTAGGCATAACGTACTGAATTAAGCCTAGAGTGATTTCTGCCAAGTTTCGTGAAAATCGGTCCAGATTTAGATATAGCTCCCATATATAGTTTCGTCCGATTTCATGTAAATGGTACCCCAAAGTCCCTATATATCTTTCGATTTGCACGAAATTTGGCATAACGTACTTAATTGAGTCTAGAAGGATGTCTG